AGGGCAGTGTCACTGGCCCTCATATGTGGGATCCGAACCAGGGCCCTCTGGCATCCCAAGCCAGTTCTTAACCATCGCGCCACTTGGCCGGCCCGATTGTGGCATTCTTGATACCACTTTAGATTCTTCACATGGTGACTGATTGACTTACCTATAAATAGCAATAATAGTAGCATACATTTTTAAACTCTTCTTCATTTAGCAAGAATGTTTACATATTAATTATCCATACCTAACACACTGTGTAGCACACAGCAGGCACTCAATACACCTATTTAATCAACTATGAAATGATGAATTTAGATCATATCTTTTTCCTTTTTCATTTCTGTTAAATATGGAGGTTTTTGTTTTGTTTTGAGGACTGAATAATAAGCTAAGCAGAAGCAAACTTTGAAGAATGTGTTGAGGTGATTGCTAAATTTTGTGGTTTTAAAGCCAGCCTGAACTATTGCTCCGAGGTGGGGCTTTTCAAATTGTTTTTTCTTGAATATGGAGCACTGCTAATCCAATTAGTGAGGCCTGAGCCCAACAGCTGCCTGAAGTACCCGTGGGGGTTAATATTTCAACATCAAGAATTTAAAAGTTCTCTCAGAAAAACTTGATATAAGAAGCCCACAGTGAAAGTTACCTAAATTCATTGCCGAATTGTAAATTTGGAATATACTCAGGAAACTAAAGCAATAAGAAGAAAGACCTCTCTGATGAAAACTTTTTTTTCACTATGTATTTGACAAAGAGGCCTATGATATATATACAGGTTTTTAAGGTTTGGGTTAATTAGGTCCAAACCTGTGGAAACCAAGAACCAATATCCTACCTCTATGTGACAATGATGGGAAAATGAGACAGATACATTTGGTTCATTAAAAAGGGTTACTCCAGAATTGAAAAGGTTGATATGAATTATTGTCAAGAGCTGTTTTGCTCACTTAACCAAAAATACACATATCTCTGTTGAAGTGCTTTGGGCGTGTGTGTATTAGTCTGCTCAAGTTACCATAACAAAGTACCACAGACTGGGTGGCTTAAACAACAGATATTTATTTCTCACAGTTCTGGAGGCTGAAAGTCCATAATCAAGGTGCCAGCAAATTCAATTTCTGGTGGGAGCTCTCTTGGCTTGTAGACAACTGCCTTGTCACTGTGTCCTCACATGACCTTTCCTTGGTGTCTGTTCAAGGAGAGACTGTTCCTCTTCTTATTAGGACACTAGATCGTCTTAGGGCCTCACCCTTAAGACCTCATTTAGTCTGAATCACTTTCCAAAGGCCTTATCTCCAAGTACTATCACATTAGGGGTTAGGGATTTGGAGGGGACACAGTTCAGTCCAAAACATGTGTCAAGTCAGCTGAGCCACACTTTTTAAAATAAACTAAGGAAATTTGTTTTGCAAATTTCTTTATATTTCTAGAACCCACAACAAAAGAAGTGACTATAAAAGTACTGGCTATCGTTACTTTCTAAGAACTTTTTTTTCAAGTATGTAGTATTCAACTACCTTTTAAAGTGGAAAGAAATTACCGCCATGAAAGAAAACGCTTTACCATTAATTCCATCACACTGTTTTAAAACTACTGTCATTTCCTTGGTTTCCCTCCAATCTTTTCCCATTGGATTTATAAAACATTGTAATGTTTTACAAGTTTGCGGTCTCCTTTTTTTTACTAACCTATATTTTGTAAGTACATTACCTTAATTCAACATACTTATTGAAATAAGTCTAGTGTTTAATTTTGATGAAGCAGAACAACTTCCACTTACTGAATTTTCAAAAACAGCATTGATTTTTTTTCAATAGACCAGCCCATATTACTGTGCACGTTGTCAAGCAAAACTCCATTGTCTACATGAGCTATCTCTTAACACACAACATACTTTGAATCTTCAAAACAGGCGACAGAATTACTTATAGATTAGATTGACTTGATTATCCATAGAATTATTGATATAGAGCAACCAATACTAAATGGCTTTTTTCTCAGCTCATCTCATGCTGGTCCAATGGCCGCTCTTTCTTAAGTTTGCCCATAATAAGTTTAGATTAATAAAATTGAGACGCTCCATCTAAATCAGCGGTTCTCAACCTTCCTAATGCCACGTGACCCCTTAATCCAGTTCCTCATGTTGTGGTGACCCCCAACCATAAAATTATTTTCGTTGCTACTCTATAACTGTAATTTTGCTACTGTTATGAATCATAATGTAAATATNCCACTCGGCTGGCCCACCAGATGCATTTTATTGTCTGAGAAATTTAACACATTCCCTGATACCTGGTATGTGGCTGTTGATCTGGCAAATGATTTTACCTTAATCTCTGTTTTTGTTTTTGTTTTGTTTTGTTCTAAAACAAACAAACAAAAACACCAGAGAGTGTAAATCAGTATAGCCACTATGAAAAAAAAGTATGGCGGATCCTCAAAAAATTAAAAATAGAATTCCCATAAGATCCAGCAGTCCTACTTTTGAGAATATATCCAAAGGAAACAAAAACACTAAAAAAGATACCTACACCCCAGTGTTCATACCAGCATTATTTATAATAGCCAAGACATGGAAACAACCTCGGTGTCCATCTTGCCATTTGCAAAACCATGGATAGACCCTTCAGGGTATTCTGCTAAGGGAAACAAGTCGGACACAGGAAGATAAATACTGTATGATCTCACTTTATGTGGAATCTAAAACAACAACAACAAAAACTGATAAGAAAAGAGATCAGATTTGTAGTTACCAGAGGTGGAGGATGTGGGAAAAGGGAATTGGAGAAAGGTGGTCAGAAGGTACAAGCTTCCAGTTATAAGATAAATAAGGACTAGCGATGTAATGCACAACATGATGACTATAGTTATCACTGCTGTAGAAAGTTGTTGACAGAGTAAATCCTAAGAGTTCTCATTACAAGATTTGTTTTGTTTTTCTTCCTTTCTTTTTAGTGTATTTATATAAGATGATAGATGTTAACTAAACTCACTGTGGTAATCATTTCATAATATAGATAAGTTAAACCTTTATGCTGTACACCTGAAACTCATACAGTGATATAGGTCACTCATAGCTCAATAAACTGGAAAAAAATAAAATAAAATATTAGTAATCTTATTTTACCAAAAGGGAAGGAAGGAAGGAAGGAAGGAAAGAAGGGAAGGAGGGGGTGGAAAGGGAGAGAGAGAGAAAGAGAGAGAGAGAGAAAGGAAGAAAGGAAGCATCAGAAAGAGTTTGCTTTCAGCTAGCAAGGCCAGCAATATACCTTCACTGGCCTACCTCAAGAGTAATTGATTAACTCTCCACCTCTGTGTCATAATTTAGTTTGCAGAAACGTTGATCACCTTTCCCTTCCACAAGATATTATATTGGTTCATTACATTGATGATATTATGCTCATTGGACCTAGTGATCAAAAGTAGCAACTACTCTAGACTTATTGGTAAGACATTTGCATACCAGCGGGTGGTAAATAAATCCAACAAAAATTTAGGGACCTTTCATCTCATTGAAATTTTAGTGGTCCATTGGTGTGGGGCATGTCGAGCTATCCTCTCTAAGGTGAAGGCTCCTTTCCGGCCACCCCGTCATTACCCAACGGGCTCATTAACAAAGTGGCAATGGTGGCAGTGACAGAGGTTATTCATGGGCTCAGGAACATGGACTTCTGCTCCCCAAGGCCAGCTTGGCTGCGGTCACCACTGAGTGCCCAACCTACCAGCAGCAGAGATCAACACTGAGTCCCTGACATGGCACCATTCCTCAGGGTGACCAACCAGCTACCTAGTGGCAGATTGATTACATTGGACCACTTCCATCAGGGAAGGGTCAGTGCTTTGTTCTTACTGGAATAATCACATATTCTGGATATGGGTTTGCCTTCCCCACTGCAATGCTTCTGCCAAAAATACTATGAGTGGGCTTGCAGAATGCCTCATCCACCATCATGGTATTCCACACAGCACTGTTCCTGATCAAGGAACTCACTTCACAGCAAACAAAGTGTGGCAATGGGCTCATGCTCGTGGAATTCACTGGTTTCATTATGTTCCTTATCATCCTGAAGCTGCTGACTTGATAGAATGGTGAAATGGCCTTTTAAAGACTCATGTACAATGCCAGCTAGGTAGCAATTCCTTACAGGCGAAGACAAGGTTCTTCAGAGAACCGTATATGCTCTGAATCAGCTTCCAGCACATGGTGCTGTTTCTCCTATAGCCAGGATTCATGGGTCCAGGAATGAAGGGGTGGAAATGAGAGTGTTATTGTTTATTATTACCACGAGTGGCCCAAAAGCAAATATTTTTGTTTCCTGCCCCCACAACATGGTGCTCTGCTGGGCTAGAGGTCTTAGTTACAAAAGGAGGAATGCTTCCGCCAAGAGACACAACATTAATTCCATTGAACTGGAAGTTCAGGCTGCTGCCCACCCACTTTGGACTCCTCATGCCTCTGAATGAACAGGCAAGGAAGAGAGTTACTGGGCTGGCTGGAGTGATTGACCCTGACTACCAAGAGGAGGTTGGACTGCCACTCCACAGGAAGAGTATGTCTGCAATACAGGGGATCCCTTAGGGCATCTCTCAGTATTACCATGCCCTGTGATTAACGACAGTGCAGAACTGCAACAACCCCATTCAGGGAGGATTACTGATGGCCCAGACCCTTCAGGAATGAAGGGTCATCTCACCAGGTAAAGAACCATGACCAACTGAAGTTCTTGCTGAGGGCAAAGGGAATACAGAATACATAGTGAAAGAAGGGAGCTATAAATACCATCTATGACCATGTGACCAGTTATAGAAATGAGGACTGTAATTATCATGAGTGTTTCTTCCTTATTTTGTTATGAATACATTTGTGTATGTATATAAAGCAAATATGTTTGTTTTCTTTACTATCTAATCCCTTTATAATGTAACATAAAATATATTGATTTCATATCATAATATTTACATATTGTTACCTTTACAACATAGTATTTAAGCTATGGGATATCAAGAATGGGAATAAAAATCACCCGAAATTTTTGCATCCTCTCCTGGAGAAAGGGTTAGTGTGTTTTGAGTTCTATGCCAGATTGTTGTATCATGTCAGGCAGAAGTGTGACCTCATTATTGCCTTTATTTGGAGATTAAGTGTAGTTTAAGGAAATATGTACAAGTGCCAAATTGATGAGGGGTGGATTTATGATGGTTAATTTTATGTGTCACCTTGGCTAGGCCATGGTGCTCAGATATGTGGTTAAACATTATTCAAGATGTCTCTGTGAAGGTGCAATTTGGATGAGATTAATATTGAAACCAGTGGACTTTGAGTAAAGCAGATTACCTGCTGTATTATGAGTGGGCCTCATCCAGTTCGTTGAAGGCCTTAATGGAGCAAATTCTGATCTCCCCCAAGAAAGAGTTCTGCCAACAGACTGCCTTGAACTCAAACTGAAACTCTTCCTTGAGTCTCCAGCCTACAGATTTTGGATTTACCAAACTTCCACAATCTCATGAGACAATTCCTTAAAATCCACTCCCCCCTCCTCTCTCTCTGTCTCTCTCTCTCTCTCTGTCTCTCTCTCTCTCTGTCTCTCTCTCTCTCTGTCTCTCTCCATACACACACACACACAAACACATACACACACACACACACACACACAGAGGGCATGAAAAAAATATATACACATTTTAAGAAAGGAAAAAACTGTATTAAACTTGTAATAATATATACTGATAACAAAGATGAGTACAAATCATGTTACAAGAGGTACTCAAAGTGGTTATCATCAGTGTAATTTTAATACAGTTTATTTCTTTCTTAAAATGTATA